TGTATAAAAAAATACATAAAGAAAAGTATTCGGTGGAAAAAAACTCTTTTCACATAAACTAAGAACAGTGAAAAATTTGGACCGTTAAGACCCAATGTCCCTTCCAAGGGACATTTTATACCTCCGTAAGAAAAAATTTTTTTTTCTTTTTTACTATAAATAATTCTTATTGGGGTCTTAGAACTTCTAGTTGAGTGGTTAGTTTTTTCAATTTGTGGCGATAAAGCCTTTCGGCTTTTAAGGGTTAATATTGGTTCAATTTTTAAAATTGAAAAAATTTATTATAATGAGGATTTGAAAGTACATATAATTCAGATGAAAGCAACTGATGAAGTAACAGATAAAATTAAACAACAAATTGAAAAAATAACAAAAAAAGATATCAAAATGATAATATTAATCTAGTATTCGGTCGTTTGCTACTTGATATGAATGAATATGAGAAAGCTGAGTTTTATTTTCAAAGATTATTACAAGTCTTATCAGCAAAACATAAAGATCGAGCTGCAATCTATGATTCTATCGGTAATCTAAATATGCGAATAACTAATTGGAAAGAAGCATTGAAAAATTATAATTTAGCATATGAAATTAAAAAGAAAGAATTATATCCCAATCATCGAAAAATAGGTCGAGCATTAAATTGTATTGGTAATTATTATAAAGTAATTGAAGATTATGTTCAAGCAATGAAATTTTATGAAGATGCTTTACAATGTCAAAATGACCCATGCGCTCAAGCTATAATTCAACTTAATATTTGTATCATACATCCAATGAATAAAAACTATGATAAACATTATTTTCATGCAACATTTGAATTGAGTAAAAGAATTTTACTCAATGGTGTTCATATTCGAATTCAATCTATAAAATTATTAGCTGATTTATATAATAAGCAAGGCAAAAAACAAAAAGCTATTGATTTTTGTTATGAAGAATTGTCTCTCTATGAAAAAGAACCATCCGAAAATGAGATTAGTATGGCAAATATTTTAATGATTATTGGCGAATTATACGAAGATAGTAATGATCAAAAGATACAAGTATTGGATAAAGCATTGTCTCTATTAAAGAAAAATATGCATATTCAATATGCTACAACAGCTAAGTGTTGTTTTATGATTGCAGAATATTATCATAAACAAAATATCAGTAAAAAAGCGTTCGATCATGCTATGAGAGCTCTTGAAATACGCAGGAAAATCTATCCAGATAATCATTCAATTTTAATCGAGACACAGACTTTGATTGATACTATTAAATCTTTAAAATAAATAATCAACAATATATGTAATATAATCTTTTCCTGAAAATTCTAGTAGTTCATTCATTGATTACATTTTAAATATTCAAATGTGTCTACTATTAGCTATAGGACTTTCAAGAAGTAAAGTGAGCGAACAAAGCAAATAATTGATTGAAATTCTTGAAATATTTATGGTATGCTTCTCACGATGGAAAGAGTAAAAAAATCAAGAATAACACTTGTTAGAATCAACAATAGATATTCTATGTGGAAATCATCATCATGCCGTGGTTTATCAGCAATTTTCATGATTTATCCCCGACTTAAGCGTTTCACACGATAAATTACTTAGGGCATGCCACAAGTTCGTAGAGTGATGCTTTAATTTCTTATGATAAGCTTTTAGTAACGTTCTTTCTACATAGTCTGATAGAGAAAAGAATGCTCTATCTTTCTATGCTATTTGATCATACTTCAACTAATATGATGATAATAAATTTTTGATAAAACCTTTTTTCATTAGTATTTGTGCTGGTTGTAAGTTTTGTGTTGCAGTTTTCAATTCCTTATTAGTAGTATTAATAACAAAAATATACTATAAGATGCAGCGTGAAAAGTTCTACAATTTACATAAGACCACTTGTTTTATAGCTGTACTTTTTGTTTTCGAAATCGACAAAATTTTCAGCAATCAAATTGTGACCATGCGAAAAAGATAATGTTTTCGATAGATAACGAATCCATTTTTGTTATTTCATTGTTTCATCGCCTGATCTGCTTTATCAAAAGAAAAACAAAATATA